TGATGCTGATGCTGATGCTGATGCTGATGCTGATGCTGATGTTGATGCTGATGCTGATGCTGATGCTTATGCTGATGCTTATGCTGATGCTGATGCTTATGCTTATGCTTATGCTGATGCTGATGCTGATGCTGATGCTTATGCTGATGCTGATGCTTATGCTTATGCTGATGCTGATGCTGATGCTTATGCTGATGCTGATGCTGGTGCTGATGCTGATGCTGATGCTGATGCTGATGCTGATGCTTATGCTGATGCTGATGCTGATGCTGATGCTTATGCTGATGCTGATGCTGATGCTGATGCTGATGCTGATGCTTATGCTGATGCTGATGCTGATGCTGATGCTGATGCTGATGCTTATGCTGATGCTGATGCTGATGCTGATGCTGATGCTGATGCTTATGCTGATGCTGATGCTGATGCTGATGCTGATGCTGATGCTTATGCTGATGCTGATGCTGATGCTGATGCTGATGCTTATGCTGATGCTGATGCTGATGCTGATGCTTATGCTTATGCTGATGCTGATGCTGATGCTGATGCTTATGCTTATGCTGATGCTGATGCTGATGCTGATGCTTATGCTGATGCTGATGCTGATGCTTATGCTTATGCTGATGCTGATGCTGATGCTTATGCTGATGCTGATGCTGATGCTGATGCTGCTGCTGCTGCTGTTGCTGCTGCTGCTGATGCTGATGCTGATGCTGATGCTGATGCTGATGCTGATGCTGATGCTGATGGGAAGAGCAGCAGTGCAAGGGGTACAGCTGTGGGGAAGGGGGGAATGGCAGAAATTGAGGGCTAATCGTGGAGCACTGGGAAAGGGAAGGTGGGGTCGAAAAAGGAAGGGGGTATTTGCTGCACTGCCCCATGCTGGTGGGGTTAAGGTTGGGTATTTGCTGCGCTTCACATAGAAGCGCCGCACCTCTCCTAGTGGGGTTAAGGTTGGCGGCACGCGGGGGGCCCAAGTGGGGGGGGGGGGAATGGAGGCAGGTGAGGTGATGGGAAGAGCAGCAGCAGTGCACGAGGCAAGAAGGTAATCATCACAGATCACACATGCTGGCTGGGTGGCTATCCCACCCACCTGCTGGCTGGCGATGTGCGTGCTGCATGCATGCATGCATGCACACTAGTAAGCTGAGCTGCTATCTCACCTGCTGCCTAAGCTGCAAGGGTACCAATCGCACCTGCTGGCTGGGAATGTGCGTGGTGCATGCATGCATGCATACTTGTAAGCTGAGCTGCTATCTCACCTGCTGGCTAAGCTGCAAGGGTACCAATCGCACCTGCTGGCTGGGAATGTGCGTACCTGCTAACCTGCTACCGCACCTGCTGGCTGGGCGGCTACCCTTACCTGCTGGCTGGGTGGCAGGGGGTAGAGGTCCCCAAAGATGGTGGCGCGTGCGTTGGCAAGGCCACTCCAGCCAGGGACCTGCACCACCACGGTGCACCTGCTGCTCAATGCGTGCACACACACTGGAGGGCCGCTCCAACCAGGGATCTGCGCACTGCTGCATGCATGCATGCTAGTGGGCTAACCTGCTACCCTTACCTGCTGGCTGGGCGGCAGGGGATAGAGGTCCCCAAAGATGGTTGCGCAGCGCTGGCAAAGCCGCTCCACCCCGGGGATCTGCGTGCTGCTGGATGCATGCATGCGAGTGGGCTAACCTGCTATCCTACCTGCTGGCTGTGGGGATAAAAATCGCACCTGCTGGCTGGGCGGCAGGGGGTAGAGATCCCCAAAGATGGTGGCACGCGCGTTGGCAAGGCCGCTCCAGCCCGGGATCTGCACGACCACGGTGCAGCGCGGGTCCGACTGGAGGTTGCGCGAATGCATGCCCAGGGGGGAGAGCAGGAAGACAGGGTCTGGGGGAGGAGGGGGTTGGGGGAATGGAGGGGGAAAAGGAGGTGGGGAGGTGGGGGAGAATGAGGGGAATGGCAAGGGAAGGTGGAACCTGCACCAGCACGGTGCAGTGTGGGTCAGAACGCAGGTTCCGCGAGTGCAAGCCCAGGAGGGACAGCAGGAACACAAAGTTTGGTGAGGGGGGAAATGGCAGGAAAAGATGGAGTCTGGTGGGTGGGGGAGAGGGGGGTGGCAGAGGAAGGTGAATGAGGAACAAGCAGACTTCCTCTCTCCTTTCCCGTGCAAACTCACTCCCACCCCCAGTCCAACCTCGCTCACCCACCCAACCCCCCCATGTCCCCCTCTCTCTCCTTGCTTCCCCCTTACCCACTTTCCCACTCATGCCCCCAATCCCCCCTTCCCTCCACTCACGGCCATCAGCGTCGGTGGTGAAATCAACGAGCGACCCAAAGGGGTACCCCTTGCGGCGGTGGTGCGAGCGAGACATGATGGAGCAGAGCTGCGCGTACTGCGCCTGCTCCACCAGGTTGCGCACTGCCACTGCGGGGGCCGGCAGCCCGTGGGCGCTCGTTGCGCTCTCTACTCCGCCTGAGACTGGCGAGCGGAAGAGGCCTGAACGAGTTGCCGCCACTGCAGGAGCGGAAAGTGGGGAAAGGAGATTGGGAAGGGTGGGGGCATGATGGAGCAGAGCTGTGCGTACTGCGCCTGCTACACCAGGTTGCGCACTGCTACCGCCACTGCCGGGGCTGGCAGCCCGTGGGCACTCGCGGCGCTCTCTACTCCGCCTGAGACTGGCGAGCGGAAGAGGCCTGAGCGAGTGGCGCAGACTGGAAGGGGAGGGTGTTGGGAAAGTTGGGCGCTCAAACACTTCAGACGCCACTGGCAGCGCGGGCAGCCCGTGGGCACTCGTGGCGCTTCCTATCCCACCTGACACTGACGAACGGAAGAGAAACGAACGTGTGGCTGACATTGGAGAAGAGCGAAGAGGAGGGGAGGAGGAGTGGAAGGGGAAGGGCGGGAGAGGGGGGAAGGAAGGGATACGCTGCCTCTCTTACCCGCCTTCCCCCCGCATCACTGCCGCTCACCCGCGCCCCCTACTCCTCCCCCCCCCCCAACTGCCGCTCACCCGCGCCCCCTTCCCCCCACCACTGGCACTCACTCGGCCCCCCCTTCCCACTGCCACTCACCCGCCCTCACAGCGCCATCGCCATTCACCCCTCTCCTCGCGCCATCACCATCAACCCGCGTGTAGTGAGTCGATTTTTGAGTCGACTCGAAAATTCACCCCTCTCCTCGTGCCATCACCAGTAACCCGCCTTCCCCCCGCCACTGCCGTTTACCCGCCCTCGCTGCGACATTGCCACTACTCACCCGCCCTCACTGCGCTATCGCCCGCAGCGGTTACCAGCGGCGCCGCCCCCGCATCCGCCTCGCCCGCGCCCCCTGCAGCAGCTGCGCGCCACACCCTCCGCCTGCGGGGGGAAGCGCGCGCTGCGCTTGGCGGAGTGGCGCAGCAGTCGGTGCGGAAAGGGGAAGCGGCGGCTAGCGAGTGGGCGGAGGAGAGTAGGCGCGCGCGGGGCAAGGATAGTCTGGGAAAAAATCGAAGAGGGGTGGCGAAGGAGAGAAAGGACCGAGAACAGGGAGGGGAGGGCAAGAGTTGGTGATTCGGAAATGAGGAGTGTATATACGCTCTTGTCCTGAATCGCTGTTCATATCGCAGCAGCGTATGCGGCGTAGTGCTTGCGATAAAGCGCGCATTGCTTGCGAAAACGCCGCAGCGGCGACGACCCACCTCTTACGTTCGCTTGTTACTGTAACACTCGCCAAGGGGCGGGGGCGGGTTCCCGGGGGCAAGGCGGGGTGGACGCGAAGGGCCATGGGCCAGAGTCGCGCGGAACGCGGAACGCAGCGCGGAGGAGAAGGAACGCGCTCGGCGACAATCACTAGGGAAAGCGCAATGGACGGCGTAGCTCGTTTCGTCGGCGGCTGTCAATGCCCGGGCGGAAGAAATGCTGCTGGCGGCGACAATCACTGGGGAAACCGCACTGGACGGTCTCACTGCACGGCGTAGCTCGTTTCGTCGGCGGCTGTCAATGCCCGGGCGGAAAAAATGCTGTTGGCGGCGAGGCGATTATAGCACGCGCGACGCGGCTGCTGATGATGTGTACGTGCGCTGAGAAGAATGGCGGAGATCGTATGACTAGTTTCGATCAGAATGGAATGAAGCTCGGGGTTCGGGGGATGGGAGGGACTGTCGAGGGAAAAGATAACGAAACATGTTCTTTTATCTAGCTGTTGTAAAAAAGCACTCGCTGATATCGAAGCAAAGCAGTTGTCTCGCCAGCTAACGAGGGAATGGGCTCCTGACACGTGCACGAGATACGCCGAAAAACGAGCCAATCGGCCCGTGAATCGCGTCAGCGACAACCACGCGGGGATGATTTGAGAATGCAGTGAGAAAGGTTCCAAATCTCTCTTGATTATTCCGAGGCCGCCTTTATCGGGTTGTAGATTAGGCAAGTGATTCACACAACAGCAAAGCAGAGATAACTCATTCGTAACTTCTTGCTCCTCATTCCGCTTCTATTTCTCCTCCTACCCCGAGTCGCACCAACTCTCGGCGCGCATCTCTCGTGTCTTCACCCATTTTTTAATTTCGTAGTCCGCGTCGTACCTCCGTATGCCGCACCTCCTTCAAATATCTCCTCCTTTAACTCGCCCCTTTCTTTAAATAGGTTTCTTCCTCCTTCGCGCTGTGCCGTAGCGTGCTCGTGCCGTTGGCGTGTTTGTGCGCGTGACGCATCCCTACGATCACCCCGCGCCGCTCGCCCTCGCGACGATGCGACGATGCGACGATGCGGCGGGAGGAGGGGAATGGGAGGAGCCGTTGAGGACGGTGATAGGCGCGTTACTAGAGGCCGAACCTCTCTGCAGACAGTGTCCTTTGCAGCTTATTAGTTCACCGTAACTTTAGCCACCTTACCCTTGTATATACCATCTCCTCTCTCGCTCTACCTTCAATTAGACGCTTCGCGGATCGTACGTTCGTCTTCTTCTGAAATTGGCGCGCGGTTTGTACATATTCCCCTCTCCGGTGCCAGCCCGCTTTCCGGCCTCCGCCTCGCCGCCTTTCCGCCTCTTCTCCGCCTTTCCCCCTTTCCGCCACTCCGCCACCCCGCCGCCCTGCCTCTCCCGCCCTCCGCCCGCGCGCCATGGCGTTTCCGGAGCTGCTGGCGCGGCAGGCGTCCATCTATTCGCTCACGCTCGACGAATTCCAGGCGACGTTCGCAGGCCCGTCGCACGCCGTCGCATCCATGCCCATGGACGACTTCCTGCGATCCGTCTGGCTCGCCGAGGAGTCGCAAATGCTCGCAGCCGCGCACGCCGCCGGTGGCGCGGATCCGCGCGCACGTGACAAGGCCGCGGGGCTGCTGCGCGCGCGCTCGCTGCGGCGGCAGAAGTCCGCCGCGGCGCTTCCGCGCGCGCTGACTGCGCGGACCGTGGAGGACGTGTGGAAAGACATACAGGCGGAGCTAGCGGGGGAGGGGGAAGCGGCGGAGGGGGGCGGGGCGTCGGCGGAAGGAGCGCGCGGAGGGGGGGAGGCGCAGCAGCAGCAAGCGCAGGGGCAGGGGCAGCAGCAAATACGGCAATTGTCGTTTGCGGAAATTACACTAGAAGACTTTTTAGTGCGCGCAGGGATATCGAAGGAAGAGCTTATAGGGGGGATAGAGGCTATAGGGGGAGAGCCGGGGGATGGGGAGGAGGCGAGTGGCGGAATTGGCAGCAGTGCGCGGAGAGAGGGGGTGGGCGGAGCCGGCGGGGGCGAGGGGGAAGGTGGAGGGGGGAAAGAAGGGGGGCAACTCACTGGAGCGGACGGGCGGATGGGGAGCGTGGGGGCGAATGGCCGCAGTGCTGACGTGGCACATGATTCGAAAGCTACAGCAGCGGCAACAGGGTGGGAACTCCACCCGCACGCGGGGGCAGCAGGGCAGGCCGGGCAAGCAGAGGTGCCATTCCTGCAGCAGCACAAGAATCAGCTTCACCAGCAGCAGCAGAAGCAGGGGGGGCAGGGCGGAGGCGAAGGAGGGAGAGGGAGAGGAGGTGGGGGCGGGGGCGGAGGAGGAGGAAGGGGAGGGGAGCAGGCGAGGGCAGCAGCAGCAGCAGCAGCAGCAAGCAGTGGTGGAGATGGCAGCAGCGGCAGTGGCAGACGCGGGGCACAGCCACGTGGCCTCTGTCTTTGCCGCCACGCGCCATGCTGCTGCTGCCGCCGCTGCTCTCAATGCCCTCGGGTCCCTGGGGTCGCTGGGAGCCCTTGGGGGAAGCACACTGGGGGCACTGGGTGGCAACTCGTTGGGGGCACTGGGCGCGCAAGGAGGGGGGTTGCTGGGGTCATTGGGAGTGCAGGGGGCGATGGGGGCGATGGGAGGCCCCCCTGCTGGTGGGCTTGCCATGGGGATGCAAACAGGCATGGGCGGAGGCGTGGGGGGAGGCTTGGGGGTGGGTGGGGGGATGGTGCCCACTACGTATGGCATGGGCGCAGGTATGGGCGCAGGCATGGGCGCAGGTGTGGGCGGAGGTGTGGGCGCAAGCATGGGCGCAGGGGGGCTGGGGGGGCTCTCTGGGGCGAGCATGGTTGCCGCGGACGGGGTAGGGGGCGGGGGAGAGAGGTGGGGGGGCAGTGACGGCGGAGGGGGAGGGGGACAGTCGGACACAGGCGGGGGGAGTGGGGATGGGGACACCCTGAGCGGGGGCGTGGGGGGGAGTGCGGGGCGGAGGGGGAGGAAGCGGAGTGGGGAGGGGGGAGGGGCGCCGGTGGAGAGGAGGCAGAAGAGGATGATCAAGAATAGAGAGTCGGCCGCTCGGTCCCGTGCAAGGAAGCAGGTGAGGTGAGGTGTGATGAGGTGCAGTGTGGTGGAGTGTGGTGAGAAAGCGTTTTTTGTAATTGTTTCGCTGCTCTGCCACACTGAGTGAAGTCTCTTTAGACTTGGAGAGGAGGCAGAAGCGGATGATCAAGAATAGAGAGTCGGCTGCTCGGTCCCGTGCAAGGAAGCAGGTGAGGTGCGGTGAGGTGCGGTGAGGTGAGAAAACATTATTTGATTGCCTGCTGCTCCTCCGCTGTGAGTGAAAACTCATGAAGCATTGAGGGGGAGCAGAAGAGGATGATCAAGAATAGGGAGTCTGCTGCTCGGTCCCGGGCGAGGAAGCAGGTGCGGTGCGGTGGGTTAAGGTAAGGTGAGGTGCTGTGAGGTGAGGAATCGTCTTCCGGTGTTCTTTCTCACTGCTCTTTTACTATGAGTGAGAGACTTTGGAGATTCCCGGAGGCAGAAGAGGATGATCAAGAACAGAAAATAAGCAGCTCGGTCCTGTGTGAGGAAGCAGGTGCGGTGTGGTGAGGTGAGCTCGTGTGGGGTGGGGTGAGGTGAGATGAGGCGAGATGAGGTCCGTTGATGTCAGAATACTTGCTGGATGGCTCGGGATGGTAGGTTCGGGATGGTAGGCTCGGGATGGTAGGCTCGGGATGGTAGGCTCGGGATGGTCGGCTCAGGGTGGATGGCTCAGGGTGGATGGCTCAGCAGTGGCATGCACACACTTTGTCTCTCCTCACTTCATGGTGCCCCCTTTCCGTACAT